AGACTGCTGGACGTGGGTCAAGGCCATTTGTGGCTGGTCCTGAGTCCCTCACCTGCCAGAAGTGCTCATGTTTTCCAGAACTAGGCCCAGAAGCCAGAGGACCCAGGACAGTAGGTTCCCTGGGGACACAGAGCATCCTATTCACAGATGAGATCTCGGAGCAGTCGCCCTCAGGGAGTTGATCAAGAAACTGGGGCCCACAGGCAACTGTTAACAAAGACTCCAAAATGTAGAGGCTTAAAACACCGATCTCAGGATCTAGGAGTCAGATGGGCTCAGCCGGAGAGTTCCCACTTGGAGTCTCCTGGGGTCGCTGTCATTGAAGGCTCCTTTACTGGAATGCCTGGCTTCTGGGCCCCAACAGCTGGAACAGGAATCTCTCTTTATCTGTTGTTACCATTTACCTAGCTTGGGATTCCACACGGCATGGCAGCCTGTGAACTGTCACAGTTCTTTTAACATGACCCACTTCACCTACCTGGAAGACCTAGGATAACTTCCACCTCAGATGGAAAGTTCACTCCCGTGCAAGGTGGGGAGCAATCACTGAACTTGATATGAGGGAAGGAAGGTCTTCGTGGTGGCCATCTTTGGAGTCTACCTACCATTGGTCATCTGGGGGCCATAAAATGATCTCAGTGTGGACGTGTCTGGGCTAATCTGCAGTGAGAGAAGGAAGGAGGGTGAGGCCTTACACTGAGGCCCAGAGAAGCCCTGAAGGGAAGGAACTGAGCTCGGAGCGGCAGGAGAAAGGGAACTTTCAAAGTCCAGAGGGAAACCAGGCAGGTGGCACACACCTCTGATCCCAGCTACTCAGGAGGCTGAGGCAAGAGGATCACAAGTTTGAGGCCAGCCTCAGCAACTCAGCGAGACACTCAGCAACTTAGCAAGACCCTGTCTCTAAATAAAACATCAAAAGGATTGGGGATGTCGCTCAGTGGAAAATCCCCTCTAGGTTCAATCCTCTGTATCACCAAAAAAAGAAGAAGAAGGAGAAGAGAAATGGGAGTGGGGAGAAGGAGAAGAAGGAGGGAGAGAGGGATGTTAGTACTGAAATGCTAAACTAGCCCAAGAAGGTCCCCCAACAAGCGGTTCTGTTGGAAGTCTCTGATCTTGTAACGTTATCATCAAGGAGGTTGGGGCTAAATCTCCCATGGGATCCACTGGGGGATAAGACATCATCCTGGGAAACCCTAAAACAGACCAGGGAAGGGCCAGTCATGTGGATGGTACTTCCCTGTTTTTCTGGGTGAATAAAATACCATAAGTGACATGGACATGTCACTTGTATCACTTTCTGTTTCTCCGTTCACCAGTTAATGGAGATTTGGGTTGTTTCAACTCTGGCTATGGTTATCAATAATGCTGCTAGGAACATTCGGATACAAGAGTGTGTTGAGTATTGTTTTAAATTCTCTTGGGTATAAAACTGGAAATAGAATTGCGGGGTTTTATGGAAATTCTACAGTTAATATTTTGAGAACTACCGAAAAGTTTTGTACAATGACGGAGCCATTATACGTTCCAACCAAAAATGAAGGTTCTAATTTCCCCACATCTTTACCAAAACTTATTGTCTTTTTCTTCTTGTTGTTGTTGTTTGTTTGCTTGTTTTGGATAATGGGGATTAGACCCAGGGGCACTTTCCCACTGAGTTGTATCTCCAATCCTTTGTGTTTTTTGTGACTGGGTCTCACTAAGTTGCTTTGGATCTTGCTAAGTTACTGAGGCTAGCCTCAAACTTGCAAGTCTCCTGCCTCAGCCTCCCAAGTCGCTGGGATTTACAGACTTGCACCACTGCACCCAGCTGTATTTTTACTTCTAGTGGGTGGGAAATGGTATCCTTATACTTTTGATTTTGATCATCATGTGCTTATTGGCCATTGGTATATCTTCTTTGGGTAACTGTCTATTCAATTCCTTTGCTAATTTTTTAATTGAATTTCTTTTTATTGTTGAGTTGTAAAAGTTGTTTTTAAATATATATCCTGAATCTCAGACCCTTTTCAGATATATGAATATTTTCCTCTTCTATGGATTGCCTCTTCAATTTCCTGACAGTGATCTCCTTTGTTTTTTTTTTTTTAACTTTATAAAGAAAAGAGATTTGCCTGGGCTCATGGTTCTGGACATCTAAGGTCTGGGGACCACAGCTGTGGTGGCCTCCTTACTAGCAGTCCCAAGGTGGCACAGAGACACAGTGTGTGTGTGTATATGTGACAGTAGTGGTCTTTGATGCATAAAAGTTTTAAATTTTAGTGAGATTAACTTTACCTGTTTTTTCTTTTCCTTTAGTTGGTTGATTGTGCTTTTGGTGTCATGTGTAAAAATCCATAGCCAAATTCAAAATCATACACTGTTTTTTTTTTTTTTTTTTCTAAGAGTTTAATAGTTTTAGCTCTTACATTGATGTCTTGGAACCATTTGAGTCCAACTTCTTTCTTTTGTACCTGAATGTTCAGTTGTCCCAGGGCCATTAATTGGGGAGACTCTTTAGTCTTTCTTAAATGTTTTGGCGCCTTTGTTGAAAAAAATCAATCAATTTTAACATATTCAAGTTTAATTCTGGATTCTCAATTGTATCTCATTGATCTATATAACTAACTTGTTGTTGTTGTTTCTGGGGCGTAAACCCAGGGATGCTTTACCACTGAGCTTCATCCCCAGTCCCTTGTAGCTTTTATTTTGGGTCAAATTCTCACTGTGTTGCTGAGGGTCTGGCTAAATTGCTGAGACTGGCCTCGAACTTGAATCCTCTTGCCTCAGCCTCTTGAGTTTCTGGGATTACAGGTGTGCATCACCACACTCGGCTTATATCATCAATTTTTAAGGCATGGGAGAAAGAGTCAAATGAACATGACCCAACTTCTTGGAGAAACAAACATAATAAAGCAAAACAAACAAAAATACACCTCACTGTAGTAGATTGATTTAGGCAGAATTTTGCAGGTTCGTGATAGATTTTTGAGTCAGAAACACCCTATCTGAACTTTGGACACTGGTTTGCCTGCAGCTTCTACTTTATTGCCAGAGGAGAGGTCTTCTGAACGGCTGGTCATCCACAGGCTGAGAGCTGCTTTTCCTCTTTCAGTGAACTGCCCAAGTCAGAAGCTCAAACTGACTCTCCCAGCCCTCGGCCCAGAGCCTCCTTTCCCTGAGAAGCCGGCAGCCCCACGTCTTGTCGGTGCCCTTCCCATCAAGCTCCCTTCATCCTTCCTGAAAGAAAAGACACTGAGGGCAACTGTACGGTGTGGCAAAAGAAAAACCCTTGGTCCCTGGGTGGCAGCAAATGGCAGTGACCAAGGATTGCCAGGAGACATCTGGTGTCCTTGCCCTGAGCCTGGCTCTCCCTTGCTCCATGACCACGGTTTGCAGCCAGCTGGGAGCAGTTCGTCCATCCCCCACCCCCACACCCCTGTCATGGGACAGAAAAAGCGCGTGCTGTGGGCGGGAAGAATTTCAGGGAGTTGGAGGGGGAGTGGGAGGGAGGGGAAGCCGCTGTGGCCCTGAATAGCATCTTTCTTTCCACTATTTGTTTTTCCTCCAGATTGGTTTAAGGCCCAGCCCAGCTACTGCCTTGGTGGTAGCTGGGGGCTGTTCATCTACCTGACCCAGCTTGGAGAGACCTGTCCCTTCCTTGTTGGTGGCAGTGTTTAAAGGGACAGAGACAATGGGACCTCTCTTCCTTCACATCGTCAGTTCTCCAAATTATTGCTGGTGGGTCAGTCCTGTCTTCGTGCAGAGAGAGAACGGGGTGGCGACATGGGCCTCTGGCTTGTCCTGGGAAGGTCTTTCTGCCTGTTGTCTGTCCTGCTGTCCCTTCTGGGTGTCCTTAGGGCTGGCTGCTAAAGCAACTGCTCATTTGAGAGTGAGGGAGGAGCCTCAGTCCCAGGCCTCCGGAACCTTCCTGAAACACACCGCGGTGCTGACATGTGGCCCATTCTGCCACTGGCCCAGGGACTCGAGAGCTTTGGCTCAGGGAAGTCGGGCTTGTTCTGGGCCACATGGCAAAGCTGGCTGCCCGGTGGGGCCTGGCCAGTGGGTCTGGGTGTGCCCGTCAGAGCTGAGGTCTAGCTTTCACTTCCTCTGGAAATCCCATGCACTTGACCTCTGAGGCTTCTGCAACGCGTGTCCTCATTCCCTGGGGGGTTTCAGATCACCGGTTTTCTACGATCTTACTTCAGTGAGAGCACACACAAAGTTAGAGCTCCTGACCCAGGAGGGCAAAGGTTGCCACCCCAGCAAGACCCACACCCAGAAACCCAAAACAGGCTGAACCCGTGAGAGAGTTAGAGAATATGCACCTAACGCAGAGTTGGCAACAGGGAGGGATTCGAGGGGTGTCATAGGACCTTGGGCAGGCCTGGGTGGCAGCCTCCCAAGCTTAGTGTCCTCTGAGTTCAGTTGTGTCCACTCTGAGTCACCTCATAGGTGTCCAGTTCCACCTTAAGAGACCCAAAAGGAGAGCTAGGGGTGGCCCTTGCCTTCCAAGGGCACGCAGCGGCCAGGCATGCTCCACCAGGTGGAGGGGGATAAGGAGGACACAACCGGGATCAGTAAGCACCGTGGCCATCCAAGGCAGGACGGGTTAATAGGGAGACTTTCAGAGAAGAAGGTAGGGGGCCCTGGGGAGGGGTGACAGAGGCAAAGGCACCTGTGTAGTGTGTGGGGGGTCATTCTGGGGCAGTAGGAGGCAAAGTTGGAGGCTGCAGGACACTCTAGGAGTCCCTGTCACCAGCTGGTGTGCCCACGCCCCAGTGTTCATGGAATAGCCATTGACTCACAGGAGCCAGCTGCTTATTATCACACCCCCACCCCACCCCTGCGGGGACCAGCTGCAGACAAGGGCTGCACAGATGTGGTCCCCAAGGCCCATCCCCTGGCCTCAAGATGGAATCAGACTGAGGTGGACCTCCAGCTGACAGCAGCTTGGCTGGGCCTCTGTCCCTACCCTTTCCCACTTCCCCTTCCCTTTCCAGTTCTCATCCTGAGATGCTACGACCACCGCCACCCCTTGCCCTGCAGCCGCCACCACCAATGCCGCTTGTATGGCCGCCGCCTCGGGACCGGCTGTATGATTAGGCCACAATCTTCAATGAGTAAACATATTCCTCAGTTCTGTTGTGTTCTTGGTCACACATTTATGGAGTTTCTGAAGGGCAGTGGAGATTACTGCCAGGCACAGCACGACCTCTATGCAGACAAGTGAACCGTAGAAATTCATTACTACTCCACCAAGAAGCCCCCATAAGAGTGGTTAACCTGGACACAGACGTATTGAATTGAAAAATCCACTGAGCATTTTACAAGAGTTCTAACCTGGATGGGGTAAACCTCAGTGCACTTCCTTTCTATTGCCTCAGTATTACTGGATTGAAGAATTGCTGCTTCTTGTTAGGAGATTCATTTCATTTCCCATTACTCCCAACTTCATACTCAAAGCACTGAGAATATCAAGTGGAGTATATTGAAGTAGACTTCAGTTACTTTGCATCATTTCTGTATTCAATTTTTTAAATTATTTCATAACCCTATTGAGTGTTTTTTAACTAAATTAACATGGCTCGAATGAACCGCCCTGCTCCTGTGGAAGTCACATACAAGAACATGAGATTTCTTAATACACACAATCCAACCAATGCAACCTTAAACAAATTTATAGAGGAACTTAAGAAGTATGGTGTTACCACAATAGTAAGAGTATGTGAAGCAACCTATGACACTACTCTTGTGGAGAAAGAAGGCATCCAGGTTCTTGATTGGCCTTTTGATGATGGTGCACCACCGTCCAACCAAATTGTCGATGACTGGTTAAGTCTTGTAAAAATTAAGTTTCCTGAAGAACCTGGTTGTTGTATTGCTGTTCATTGTGTTGCAGGCCTTGGGAGAGCTCCAGTGCTTGTTGCCCTGGCATTGATTGAAGGCGGAACGAAATATGAAGATGCAGTACAATTCATAAGACAAAAGCGGCGTGGAGCCTTTAACAGCAAGCAACTTTTGTATTTGGAGAAGTATCGTCCTAAAATGCGGCTGCGCTTCATAGACTCCAATGGTCATAGAAACGACTGTTGCATTCAATAAAACTCGGGCGCCTGATGCTATTGCCTTGGAAGTGGAACTTAAGACGGGACCTAATTTGTAGTACATATTAGCCAACATGTTGGCGTGGTGAATAAGTCTGATGAAGCTTCCATAGGAGTATTGGAAAGCTGTTTTACCAGGCCACAAGCTTGACAGAATTTCAGCCTCTATGTTTGGGTTATGATCAACCTGTTTGGACACTTAGCAAAAGATTCTTGTTGTCCACAATTTAAAATGTGCTTATCATTTGTACCAGTTGACCTTTCCTGAAATCATGCGGTATTGAGTTAATGTCTTTAAATCTATTTCCATGCCAGAATCTTACATAAGAAACTTAGAAAGATTAGGTGCCAAAATACCCAGCACAATACTTGTATATTTTTAGTATCATACAAAACCAAAATTCCAGGAACTAAGAACACTCTAGACCTTATGTGACTTATTCCTTCAGTCATTTCAAACATTGTAGGCCCTATATGATTATTTGCCTGCTCTTTTTATGTTTACATCTCCCACATTCATACCAGTATACATCAGGTTTGCTTTTACCTATTGGGTTTTTTTTTTCCTTTTACCAAGTCTTACAGCAATTATTTTTATTTAATATCTTTCTGTAAGTCTTATTTTTTGCTGTTATGGGAAACCTCCATTTCGAAAACCTAAGTTTTTACAGAAGCACATGTCTTTAAGTCTCCAGACAAAAAAAAGCCTTACGGTTAATTTAATGTTTGCACTCTGAGGTGCAACTTAACAGGGAGGGCCTGAAAAAAAGAATGGGAGGGGGCTATTAAATATTTTTAGTAAAATGTTGCCTTTGTCTCGTGCAGAACCTGTAGAATATATGCTCTTTAATTTAGTAAATATTTTTTTAAAAGGTAGAGATGCTCTGTTATTGTAGGTAAAACAATTCTTAATCATAAAGTTCCTGAAATTCTTGTAATTTTTTTCATAATTATCAGAAGTTGTTTACCAACTTTTTGTTTCAAGTGTGATTTTTTTTCTTTTATTCCCAACCTCTTGCAAAAAAAAAAAAAAAAGAAAAAAGTGGGTTTCTGCTGATGAATTGAGCAGACATCTAATATTTTATATGCCTTTTGAGCTGTGTAACTTAATATTTGGATACTTGATAATTTTGTTTTATTATGTAATTGATAAAATGGTAATGTGTATTAATGTTAGTTCAACCATATATTTATACTGTCTGGGAATGTGTGGTTATAGTTCTGCGGGAGAAATAATTTGTCAGTGTTCACCAGCTTGTAAAAACTTAGTGCAAGAGCTTAAACATCTAAATAAATAATGAAATGCATTTATCAAAAAATAAAATAAAAATAAAAAATGGCTGGGGTTGTAGCTCAGTGGTTAAGTGACCCTGGATTCAATCCCCAGTATCAAAAAAAAAAGTCCCAGGTGATGGACTCCCATGGTCCTCTCTTCCTCCCAAAATTTGTATTCCTAGCCAGCAGCGCTGAGCACCAGAGGGGTCATTTACTTATGCAGATCCACGACCACTGCTTGAAAAACAAGGCTCCTGCCTCTCTTGATGGTGCCTTCAGTTCTCAGAGCCACAGAGCTCCTTCTCAAAAGAGGAGCAAGAACAGCACATTGACTCTCTTCACTGTGCATACGCTTTGGGCCCACAATGCAGTGAATTAAGTAGTAAGTCTATATTTATGAGCAGAGGGTCGCCCCACTGATTCTCATGCCCCGGAAGGTTGTGAGCTTGGAATGTTGGCTCCACCGGTCTCTTCCCCAGGGACAGAAGAAGGGTCTCCTTCATCCCGCTCAAAGGGATTCTCCAGAAAAGCACCCCATCCACTGAGCTTGGATTTGGATATTGCCCATCTCCTTCTCAAGGCCATTTGCTTCAAAGCTTGGTCTCTGCACCCAGAAAAACAAAGGGCTTTGTTGTCAGCCCCAAAACCAGCCCTGCACCTCAAGCTGCAAGTCTTCCTCTGGGCCATATTATCTTGGAGAGGCTGTCGTGCCTCTGTAGGGAGGTTCCTGAGCAGAGGTTAGCGAAACAATGATTCCTTTGGAGACCAGAGTATAGAATTCAGAAAGAGCCCCCACGGCCTGTGGGAAGTAGATGCATGATCCAGGCAGGACCACAAGCCAGGGGGAAAGAATGGATGATCTGGTGCTAGGGCAGGGACTCAAACAAGGGGGGTGCCCCTTATGCTTATGGAGAACCAGGATGCTTCCCAAAGGGACTGGAGATTTAAATGTGGTGGGGGTGGTGAGACACACCTGTTATCCCAGCAATTCTGGAGGCTGAAGCAGGAGGATTGAAATTTTAAGGCCAGCCACTGCAATCGAGGGAGACCCTGTTTCTAAATAAAAAAAATAAAAAGAACTGAGGATGTGGCTCAGTAGAAGAGCTACACTCAGTGCTAAGAGTCCAATTCCCAGTAAAATAAATAAGATGAAACTTGTATAAGCACTGAAAGAAAGCATGGTTAAATTCTATAATTTGGGAGTGGGGAAAACTTTCCTAATTCTGACTCGATATCCAGAAACAAGAAGGGGAAAATGCTTTAACGAACTGAGTTTTGTAGGGAAAAACAACTAATTAAATAAGATTTAAATAAATAAAATGGCAAGGGACTGGCAAAAGAAAATTACAACCTACATCACAGATACCATTTATATATTTAGTATAAAAATATGCTAATATTCTTTGTATATAATGAGCTTCTAATATACACCAAAAGACCAACAACCCAATAGAAAAATGCACTAAAAATAGTAATAGTTTACAAAAAAAGAAAGAAAGGCAAATGCCTCAAAACTGTCTGAAAAGACACCCAACCTTGTTTATGGTAAAAGAAATGCAAATTGCCCCAAAGAACTCTTTCTCACTGATCAGATTGGCCAAAATCCAAAAAAGTCCAACAAAATCCTCTCTTGTCCTGTCTATGAGAAAACCCCCCTTATTCTCTCCCACTGCGGGCGGGATGTGAACCTGCACCATGCCTGAGCTTTGCAAGGTCTGCAAACCTGCAGGTGCATTTCCCCGCTGGTCTCCCCGTCCTGCTTGTAGGACTCTACCCTAAAGATGCATCACAAACAAGACAGAAAGGCTCACACACAGCTACTTATTTGTAACAGCCGAAGCTTGGAAAGAACCCAAACGTCCATCAACAAGGGCCTGGAGAAATAAACAAGAGTCCATCTACACAATGGGGTATTTTGCAGCCAAAAAGAGAACACGGAGGAGCTGCACAGACTAACACAAAGAGATCCCAGGACCCTTTGGGAAAGGAAAAAGACAACGAGGAGGGAAGGATGTATAGGGTACTCAAAAGCAATGGACTATCTAAGAAGGGAAGAGAAAAATACAAATTCTAAAATGCAAATAAATGACGTCTTAGAACTAAAAAATAAACATGGGTGGTTCCAACAAAAAAACAGAAAGGACAGGGTGGGGAGAAAAGAAGAGACGCGAGATTCCTTTGAACGTATCATGTTTTTTATTTGATTTTGACCGTGTACATATTTTATATGATCATAAAGCTCAATTACATTGTTAAAAGAAATTCCTAGGCGTGGGGGTGTAGCTCGGTGGTTGAACTGAACGTGTGCTCTGCATCTATGAGGTTCAGGGTTTGATCCCCAGCACCAACCCCCACGGGGAAAAAAGAAAAGAAATGAACAAGAATTCTTAAAACTGAAAGCGAAAACAAAGCCGAAGCCCCTCGCTGTGCAGTGACTGGCAGCTGGGTACACAGAGGACTCTTCTAGATGGCTTCGACTACGTGTCCCTAGTGGGACTTGCTACTAGGAAAAAAACCATAAAAACAAAATATTAAGCTGCTTTCAATTATAAAAACTTACTCTAAGTCTGCTGCCCAGGTAGAGAGACAGGTGGATAAGGAACCCTGCAGGCAGGTGTCCTTGAGCCCTGAGATTTGGGGAACAGAACAGGAAAGAAGCAATCCAGATGTAAAAAGCTATGAGATGAAGCAAAAATTCCAGGATTCTGGATTTGAATTAAAAGTCTCAGTATAAATGCATATTTTTTCTTAAAATAGTATTTTTTTAAAAAAAGATCCTATTTTCATCCTCTGAAAAGGCAAAAAGGACTCAAGGGTCAGGGGAAAACAGGCTGCCACTAGATTCAAATGGGGACAATCTGAAACTCAGTGCAGTCAATGACCACAGTCAACTGGCAAATGTCAACACGGGAAAAAGACGTGAGTTCATAACGATTTTTAAAAACTCGCTGATCATTTGGGGGGATGCTATGGTTTGGATGAGTATCCCTCAAGGTCTGTACCTTAAAGTCTTGGTCCCCAGGGTGGTAATATTGGAAGGCAAGGCCCAGTGGGAAGGCTGTGGGTCACTGGGTGGGCCCTGGAAGGAGACTGTGGAACCCCAGCCTCTTTCTCTTCCTGCCTGTCTCTTGCTTCCTAGCTCATGAGATGATGGTTTGCTCTGCTACATGCTCTTGTCATGATGTGTCACCCTCACCAGAGACCCAAAGCAAAAGGGCCTTTTGATCTTGGAATTGTTACCTTCAGTCCTGTGAGCCAAAATTAACCTTTTCTCTTTATAATTCAATTGTCTCAGGTATCCCATTATAATAACGGGAAACTGATTACTACAGTGGATACTAGAAAACCAACTTACTATTTGGAAAACAAAGAGGGAAAAAGTCAAAAATTTTTTTCTTAAGAACTATACCTCAGGGGAACCAAATAGCTCACAAAGGGAAGTCCTCTCCATAGAAATATCCCACCTCATAAATAAAGGAAGGAATGATGTGAATTTCATTTGGACATGCTAATAAATTAATAGATCAACAGTTGCTAACAAATAGAAAGACAGACATTGTGTAACTCCTGATAGAAAAACAAAAATACACCTGAAGCCTGACTTTGCCAAAAACTATGTCCAATATATCTGATCAAGTCTCCAGTTTATATGAAATTCAGGAGGCAGAGGAGCATGTTGGAATAATTCCACGAAAATGTAGTCAGCAAGATCCTGAGTGGTACTGGGCACAGGGTCCCACT